AGCGTTTTGTGTGAACCAAACACTCCTCTGGTTCACCGGTAAACAAATGTGCTTCAATGTCACTTAAAGGTTCCCAGCCAGAAAGCGAACACACGCAGCTGCCAAACACCGCCTCACGCTTTGCCTTGCCAAGGCTCTAAAATTAAAATTGGGATTCCTAACAAAAATGCATAGTTTGCCTATGACAAAGTAGCAGCATTCTGGATTTTTTTTTTTTTTTGACTACTGTGTGAATTGAACTTAGCATGTTTCAATGTCAAAAAAAAAAAAAGTACAAAATGTTACAGCCTCAAAGTAACAAAGCTAAATTGCAAGGAATAAATATGTTGAGAGCGCGGTGCTGATATACCGAACAGAACCAGGAGGGACTTTCAGAAGCGTCTGAGGCTACTGTAAAAGCGTCAGGGCGTGTGCCCTTTGCAGGAAAAGCACTTAGCCAATATAATATATAATTGGTTTTCATTTTAAGAAGATGTTTTAGTTGGGAAGCTTTCGACAAAATCTACGTTTTCAGTCACTGAATTAGCCCTCAAAACAACACTGAAAGTTTATTAAAGAACCCCAAATCTCTAAAAATACATTCTTTTCAGCATTTCTGCTAAGCTGTTCTCCAGTATTCCTTTTGCTCACTAAAAACACTAGTCAAAGAAATAAGTAGTAATTCTGGTTAAGACATTAATAAGCTGCTTCAAAATGTAGAGCGTTTAGAGAGAACAAAGTGCACTATGGAGCGCTTCCTGTTTCCCACCTACACCTGATCTCAAAGCTGAGAAAAACCAATTAAATTTCCTTCAAGAGCTCCTTTTTTAAAAAGGGTGAAAGAATCCCCCCTTTCCAGTAACAACAAAGCTAGCAGACGGCAAGTTCCCGTACATCCCAATACATACATATCAACAACGTGAATCACCTCTTGTCTTTGTTTATGCATGTATGCAAACACATTTTCCAAAAAGGCTTAACCTCGTCTCCTAACAAGACCTTGTTAGCATCCTCCTTGCATATTTACACGTGGAATCCCTTACCCCTACCGCTTCATATGTAAAGACATACTGTTGACAAGAAGGAAAAAAAAAAAAAACAAAAAAAAACCAACACCACCAACAGAAACCCACTGGGGATATGAGTGACAAAAGAGGTGGGAGGGCATTAGGATGTAATTTTAAAGCCTCCGTACTTGAGGTTTTGCTTCCCTCTCCAGCAGCAGTTCCCAAAGCTCCCTACAAAAAAGGCTGGTTAATGCACTTAATGTAAAAGACATCCTACTTTGGAGGAAGGAGAAAGAGGATGGGACACAACACACAGTACTGTCAGCTCAGTACATTGCTCTTCCGGCTCCCCAGGCTTACACACTGGCCCATCTGTCCACTGTCTCACCACCTTGTTCCCAGAGCAAACTTGCCCTCTGAAACATACCTTAGAGGGATTTTTCAGTACTTTTCCAAGAAAGGAAAGGGCTTGGTGGTGGACAGGAGAGGAGGCGAGAGAGAATCACAATTCAGCATGTTGCACTGAGGACCTGGCTCGTGCCTCCATAAACTGGGCTGCTCTGGGCACCTACTGGCTGAGAACCCTGACAAGATGCTCACTCTACTTTCAAGAAGTTAGTAGAGGTCCTCTAAGTGTTAAAAGTGGATCCTCAAGACTTTTTTTTTTTTTTTTTAAAAAAGTATAGACTCAATGAAAGCGTCCTTTTGGAAGCTGCCAGAACCCCTTCTTTGGGAGATAGGGGCTTACTTCTCTCTTCTGATTAAAGGAGTCAAATTAAACTTAAATTAAATACCTATAATAAATCTAAATGAGATACCTAGAAGTTGATGGTTGGCATGAGTGTTGCCATAACGCACACACAAGGGCAATTTACTTCCAATGGTAAGAGTTAGAGAAGTATTTAAATCTTTTAAAAGCACAAGTTTGGAGATACAAACAGGAAGTGCGTGATGTGAATAACGCTCACAGAATTTCCCTGGACAACACAAAGTGGTGTTCCTAAAGGTACCAGCAGCAACTTAAGAAAACATTACCGATTTTTAGATAAATAGAAAAATACTGTAAAAGCAGCAACACATTTTCTTTGTATATAAAAAAAACCAACATGTTTTAATGATCTTTTTGCAGCCAGCAGCTTTAACGTTCGATAATAGAAGAGTTAAGACCACCACAACGTATTTACAGAGTCAGCTGCTGCAAAGAGCTGAAGATTCAGGAAGAATGTTTTGATCTGAGTTACTGGCACCAGCGTAACTTATTTTAAAAAAATCTCATTTACATTGTAAGGGCACTTCTGTTTACAATACATACTGAAACTCAAGATTTGATATAAATATGCCACCAAGTGAGCCAGAACATGGCAACCAAATTTGAAACTCTCCTGATTTCATATTCCAGTGCAAATTCAACAAAACATCCCTGTGAATAAAGTCTGGCAAACAAGTTTTCCTGTAGAACTTAACATCTGAGGTTCTACATGGTATTGTCTTAAACGTGTCAAAACTTGGCAGTTTAAAGAGATATTAGATCTTCACACCTGTAGCTGTAGGACAATTAACATTAACTTAGTGCCCTCAATGTCTTGCGCAAGAAGTGTTTCAATATTTGTGTCCCACTCCTCCCCTTCTCGTTTACGCCCACTAACGCGCCGCAAGAATCTCACCGTTATTTGCATACTAAATTTTTTGCACACTCGCTCTCAGAAGGAAGGCTGTTATCAGTTTTCCTTAACTTGCAAAGATGCTGAGCACAGGAACGCTGTCATTGCCCCAATAACCTTGAGATCAGCACACAGAGCTTTCCAAAAGGTAAAACTTGGTCGAGTGGACTCTTATGACCTCATATTTCATATTGCTGATTCTAGTCTAGCTGAAAAGAAATGATCAGTACAGCTCTAATAAAAAGCCTACAGATGCACATACTACCCTTAAAATCATGCTGTTACTAGCATAGTTTGTACTAATTCCTGAATATGTGGAACTATTTCTTTATTAATAAAGCAACCATCTCCATGACAGGTTTTTTTTTGTCAGCATAAATTTAATTTAAAAAAAATCCTTGACGGCAATCAACATTATTATAGCAACAAGTGCTTCTAATGCAGTCCCAGTGGGACAGTGCAAAGAATCTCCAAGGAGCTACTGTCATGTCGAAGCATTAACTATGAGCATATATGTTATCAGAAGTACATCTCACGATTGCTTCAGGAAACTCACTGAAAATGTTCTCTGAAAAGACAAACCTGCAAATAATTTCTTCGCAAAGGTAAGAAAAACTTTAGATCTTCCCTGTCTCTGAGACAGGGATTGAAATTGTTTTTTCTGATGAGTGAGTAATCCCATAAAGATGTGCTCTCGTCTACCAAGGCTTTTGTAGCCCTGGAAGAAAATAATGTAACGGATCTTAAATACCAAAGCAACAGAACTCCCACATCATTTAGCTGTTCTACTTTAAAGTAAAAATACAAAACTCTGTATATTTTATGAATACACATAAAAAGAAAACATTCATTTCAGACAATTTTAGCAACATCTTCTCAAGACCTATCAACACCCAATAATATTTTGAAATTTAAGATGCTTAAAAGGAGTTATCACAGCACTGGGTTCTTTAATTCAGAAAGTTGAGAGAAAACAAATACTGAATTCCAACCAGAAATGAGAAAAGCAGTGGAAAAAAGCAAGACAGTATCCAAAGTCTTTGCAAAGCTGTCACTTCTTACAAGTGGCTAAACCTAAAAAGTAATGTTTTCTTCAGTAAGAAAAGAGGATCTGGAGAGCAGCACACCTGAGAGTGAGCACAGTTCTCCCAGTCTAACAGTGCCATTTGTAGCGCTTGTCTACAAGAGAATGTAGAAAGCCCCAGAAAATTGTGAGTTTTAACCTAAAGTAATTTAGGAGAGTGTCTGCCATTTTCAGACTGAATAGAACATACTGTTTTATGAATAAGGGCCAACATTCGTTGGGCAATTTAAAAAAAAAAAAACACCAAAAAACTATCATTATGGTAGAGATCCAGTATATGCGCGTTCAAGTCCCACCCAACATATGATCTACAAAGGATTCACTGATTTCTCTTTTCCAACTCATATCTCAATATGCAACAGATATCTAGTCAGAATTTCCCATGTTCCAATCCATCTCCATCACATCTTTCTCTGTGCAACTCTGAGACGAGTCTGGCTCCACTTTCTCTTCCATTAGGTAACTGAAGACAGCAATAAGATCCCCCTCCTTAGCTTTCACTTCCTAATGAACAAACCCAGCTCTCAGCCTCTTCTTGTACATCACGCGCTCAAGCCCCCTGATCATCTCAACAGCCTCTGCTCTGCTTGCTCCAGTATCGTGTCTCATACTGGGGAGTCCAGAACAGGACTGGATATTCCAGATACAGTCTGTAAGCGCCAAATACAAGAGAAGAATCACTTCTCTCAACTTGACGTCTGTGCTATGATCTGTCTTCTGAGGAAGGCAAGCATTACCCAGATATACGATCAAGTTTGTCCTTCATCAATGTTAAGATAAGGATTGTAACATCCTTAATCTTTCTTACTTAGTCCACCAAATTTTTTCGTGATCAAGTTTTTCAGAGTGTACTTTAAGGTTTTCATCTCCATATAAGTTGGTCAAGCAGGCTCCCTGAAGCCAATATCTCACAGATAAAATGCTTGC